AGAGAGAGAGAGAGAGAGAGAGAGAGAGAGAGAGAGAGAGAAGGGAGGGGGAGTAATTTCAGTGTTACCCAAAGGAAGGGGAGGATGAGTGGCTCGACAGAGACTGGACCTCCAGTAGCAGATGACAAGGGGATGACCAAACTATGAACTTTTGTACATACTGCCCAATAGTCTGAGATTTCGTACAGGATGCCAGTCTTGAGTTGTTTCATCGTAGATAACACTGTTGATGACTTGCTGTCTCCTCTCAGTTCAACATATTGGTAATGTGTTCTATCTAAGAGGACTTGCAACTGGGGCAGAGCGATTGTTGGGTACAGCCTCATACAGGTGGGTTACGAACCTGTCTTTTTTTATGTTTGCTGCTGGCCAGATTTGGACTTGGGAGCTGTGATAGGATGTGTGAGGAACAAGCTGGTTCCTTTTTTTGCTGTTTTTCATGTTTCCTGCTGGCCGGATTCGAACCCGGGACCTAATGCGAGAGACTTTGTTAGGTGCCTGTCGACACACAGGGCCTACCGTCTTCCGCCGAACACAAGACACCCTCCCTCCCTTTGGCTGCACTGGGATGAAAAGATATTTGTATACAGTCATTCTCAGGGTGCGTTATGTTCGCGGGAAGACGGTAGTCTTGTAGGTTATTGTAGGCTAGAGCCCGCTAGGACCCCGTAGGCCCAGGCGTAAAAGTAAGCGAGGTGCCACCAGTTTTGACGATAGTTTTCACCAACTTTTCGCTCATAATAAGATTTTGCGTCATGGAAACCACCAGTAGCGCTCCTCGACTAGAAAGGAGAGAGCCTGGGCGCAGCCAAAGCCGTGGTGTTCTGCCTGTATACTCTGTTGTTTTCGATGCGGTTTGTTGCGGCCCGCCGAGGACAGCTAGGCGCCCACGTGGACACGACTTTCTGTGGTTTCCATAAAGTGCTCTAATGGGATTCTTCGGTACAAGTTTGGTGTCAAATCTTCTATCAATGGTGATTTGCTTTCGAACAAGTTTGCACAACTGGCAGATGGTGATATTGTTTGAATTTGGGAAAACAGCAAGAATACTTAGAATAGTAATGTGTAATAAAGTTAAATAAACTAATATTAATATCAGATTATTATAATATTATATGCAATGTAACTCGGCTACGAGAGTGGCCCGGGGGGTAAGTTGCCCGGCCTGACAAAACAAAAGAAAAAATATATATATTTTTAATGTACTTTTTATTTCAAATTCGGTAAAGAATTTCGATGCGACCCCGACGGCAAAAGTTGTTCAGTTTGTTGTTTTGCATCACATGATTTGTTTTCAGAGGTTTTTTTTTTTTTTTTTTTGCTGGGCCGTTCACTGTTCCTCGTACGGCCGGGTTGCCTGGTTAGCCAAGGTGACCCGGCGGCCCGGCTGGTAGCCCTGCATTCTGTTTGACTGTGGAATACTCTTTATATTCAGTTTATAATAACTTTATATTATTATAATGAAATTGATAGAAGATGTCTCTCCTGTTGGAATTCAATATAAAATATTATAAATTAGACATTACTAATTAGTAATTACAATGCACCGATGTATTGAATTAGTTGACCAGTATTAGATATTGAAATCATTTTTTTTTAATTTTTTTTTAATTTCCCTATTTCTGTTCTGATGAATATCATAACAGAGTAATGATGATAATCATACGAAGAACAAGAACAGAGTTGCACTGCGGACATACAGCCGCCCTTGACTGCTTGAGGGCTAACCATTTTTTTTAGACCCCTGCGGGCTAACCTATAAGCCCGTCAGCACCTATTGGTCAGAAAGTGTCACCCCCGCCCCCCCCTCCCCCCTCCAGTCTCCCGGGCAAGAGAGAGAGAGAGAGAGAGAGAGAGAGAGAGAGATTGCACTCCGTTGTATGTTTTTAAACCACCAGTACTTCCTGAAGGTGTGCCCGTATACAAGCCACGACACGGTTCTAGAAAACATACAGGCCACTACAGGAGCGCCCAAATTCGTCGGACTAGAAATGTTTCTACTCCTTTTTTTAGCCGCAGCCTATAGCCGGGCCAAGTACTGAACACGTAGGCTACCAGAGTGGCCCGGGACCACTTGCCCGGCCGGGCCAAAAAGAAAAGAGAATAATAATAATTTTATTTTTTATTTTAAATTTGGTAAAGAATTGCGATGTGATCCTGAGGCAAGAGTTGTTCGGTTTAGGTTTCTGAATAACTTTTTTTTTTTTTTNTTTTTTTTGTTTCCCTGGGACCCTCCCGGGTCCTTGCACGGCAGGGCCACCGGGGAAAATAGGGTGACCCGGGCGGCCCGGCTGGTAGCCTAGCTGGACTTTTTTTTTTTTTTTTACTGAACACTTTTGAGAAACCTTGAAAACGTTCTTTTTTTTTTTTTTTTCTGAATTAGATAACTTTCTCCTTTACAAAGACCTTTCGTGTCCATGGTGCCCTCGTTTGCGCAATTCAGCAGCCAACGAAATCACTTTTTTTGTTATTTTAACGCCGAGAATTTCACAGAGTGAAGATCGGAACGGTTGATAGAGTCGCCTTTTCATCCCTTACTGTTTCACGCAACCTGATTGGTGAGAAACTTACCCCTCCTAACCTGAAGATAGGATCGCTAATTAATAATTATTAATTAGTTTTTCAATCAAGAACTCGTTGTATTGGTGGCTTTCTGAAATCTCCTCCTTCCGACGTCCTAAACAGTGTTTCTGCGCTTCCCACGGGGGGTTTTCCGGCCCGGCAAATTCAAGTGTGAAAACAGATTTATTACCAGGGCAACCAGGCATGCGTTTTCACATCCCCTTTTCCTCCTCGACTACCTCCCTCCGCACAACCATAACAAGTCCGGAATGACTCATCTCGGCTGCCTCATCATCATCCTGCTTCGACCTTCTGCAGACGAGTGCGCCCAGATCGTCTGCAGAGATGCCTCCTACCTGACGGTCCAGACTGGTCAGATCACGACGGGCCACTAATGACAATGCAAGAAGAAGAAGAAGAAGACGAGAAGACGAAGAAGAGCAAGAGCAAGAAGAAGAGCAAGAAGACGAGAAGAAGACGAGAAGAAGAGGAGAAGAAGATGAAGAAGACGAAGAAGAGCAAGAGCAAGAAGAAGAGCTAGAAGAAGAGCAAGAAGAAGAAGAAGAAGAAGAAGAAGATTAAAGTTACTTTGTTCCGTCAATGTAAATTTAACCCACAACTGAAATGATGAAATCCCCATACAGAACCCAGAAGTCCTCTTTGTCTCTCTTGGGCTATTTCAAGCTCTGCTGTTAATTTTTGTTTTGAGCCAAGCCGCATTTGATTCATAAGTTCTTGGATTTAAACAGAAGGCTGAGGAGCTAAATTTTCTTGTTTTTACCGCTCATTTTTGGAGTTAAGAGTGTATGCATACCTCTGTATGTAATTTAGTACAACATGGGACTCACCCATCGTGGGACATTGGACACAGCCATCATCTGACTGACTCTGGTTATCAGTGATGGTTTTGTTGAGAATGGTGCTTGCATGCAAGGCAGGATTGCAGTGTGTGCTGCTTTTTAACTCTCTGCCAGTCTCTGTCTGGTCTTTAGTCGGCTCTGCTTTTTTTTTTTTTTTTTTTTTTTTTTTTCTTTGGTGAATTTCTTGCATGTTCTATAGTTTCGCTGTGTAGATTGTGGGGCCATCATATCGAGAATCGGGACTGAAAAGTGACGTGAATACAGAGATACGGACCATGCAGTCTCTCTGGGGAATTAGACGTTTTCCTTTTCGTGTTGTGGTGCATGATGTACCTAAAATTACTGAACTCATTATTATCAGGAGACTTGAGATTTCAACCACCCCCCCCTGTCATGAAAAAAAAAAAGGGAAAAAAAAGTTTCCCTTATACTCTTTTTCTGGGATGTTTGCCGCAATGGCTGCTTACTACACGTTTCTGGGATTTGACAGATTCCTCTTTATGTTTTTTCTTTTTCTTTTGTTGTTCGGCATATGTCAGCAAGGCGAAAGTTTTTGCATCGACGCTGGACTTGGTGAGTATCGCATGGATGGGGGGTATGAGCGATCCGTGAAGGACATCATGAAAACCCTGCAGCAGCGTCTGGAGAAGCCTTGCGGGATCCACTATGATGCGCTAGCAGAGATTGCACGTGTGCTGGGAATGGAGGATCGTGAAGATGCGGCAGCAGAGATTGCACGTGTGCTGGGAATGGAGGATCATCAAGCCATGCGCGGTGAAGGTCCTGGCACACCAATGAACAGTGTAAAAAAAGGTGCAGACGATGCTTCGAAAAATGGTACAACAAAGAATGGGAGTGGTCTGTCCTCACCGTTGAGTGAAGTAACCAGTGACGAGGTGCCGTCAGAGGAGGCAACGACGTCGTCGCCCTCGGATCCAGGGACGATCAATGGACAGGACGGGCAGACTTTGCGACCAGTCTCTCCAGCCCAGTTTCACTTGTTTTGTCCCTTTTCGCACCAGCTGATGGAATGCCCTGTGCGGCTGAAAGAGACGGGGATTACGTTTGAGAGGAGTGCAATTGAGGACTGGCTCGAAGGACACTCGACATGTCCGTTGACAGGTACGCTGTTGAAATGCAAAGAGCTGGTCGTGAACGAGACCGTTAGAAGACTTTGTGACGAATATAGGCTACAACACCAGGCTGCGGGGAACTCTAATTCTTGCAAGCAGAGGACACCTGCACTTCTCGATCCGCCCAGGCACACGTCTGTGCAAAATGGAACTGGTTTGAATTTGTCCGGGTTGAATGCATCGGGGTTGATGTCTACCCCAGCAAGTACAGCGAGGGCTTCTCTCGATGCCACACCTCCCGCAAGCCCGAGGAGTTGTGGCGACTCAGGACCCATTCCAGTGGGCAGAGGAGGCCGGAGGCCTTCCTCGTTATCGATACCAACGTCCTCCTCGTGGAGAGATGGGCCTCTTGGTATGTTGCTGTCTCCTTCATTGCGAACTCCGTGCTCCGTCTCATCTAGCTACAGCGGAGGCGGAGGGCTTGCGTCGCCGTCGTTGACAAGCTCCCCCACTGGAAGCGCCTCAGGTCAAGACTATCCGGCCAACTACTCGGAGTGCAAGGCAAGGGTGCAGAAACTTGTGGCAGACCTCAATTCCAGCGCGGATGCGGAGAAGCAGAGAATTGTGGCAGAAGAGGTGAGAAGGCTGGCAGCCGACAGCTGGGAGACGAGGGCTTGCTTGTATTACGGCAAGATCGTGCCAGTGCTAATGGGTACGCTTCGGAAGAGCGTGGAGCCGGAGGTGCAGCTAGCAGCGCTTCGAGCTCTGTTTAATATGCTGATGGACAGCACAACGAAGGAGGCCTTAGTTCACCTCGGCGGTGTGCAGATGCTGCTGAAGCTGGTGTCTAGGTCAAACCAATTGGACGTGCGAGAGGAAGCAGCGGGGTGTTTGTATAGTCTTTCCGTGCTGGACGTTGACGAGGAGCTGGCCGCGCTCAGACCCGCACTGGCTCCACTCATTGAGATTGCAAAAGTGGCATCGCCCAAGGGAAGGGATGATGCATTGAAAGCTTTGTGGAATCTATCGGTTGCAAAGGCAAACAAACAAATCATTGCCAATGAGGGTTGCATCCCCTTTCTGCTACAGCTGCTTGCGGATAGAGAGGGTCTGTTGGATCGCAAGATGATGAAGGTTGTAGCGTCTTTGCTTGACCGAGTGGCGAAGTGTCGGGAGGGTCAATGGGCAATCGCGAGTGCAGGTGGGATTCCCAAACTGGCGGCACTAATATCGAAAGCGGATTGTCCAGAGCAGGTGAAGGAATACGTCATAGGTGTGCTCGACTCGCTGTGGATGGACCATGACTCTGCGATTTTGAATGTCGTTGACACGACGGCATTGACCAGCGTAACGGAGAAAGGTACGGAACGAGGGAGGAAGAAAGCAGGGGCATTGCTGGAGAAAATGGGCCAGCAGCAGGACTCTCTGCTGAAGCAGATACATATGGATAAATGGGAGCACCAGGAGAGGTGGGGGAGTCGGCAGCAGGAAGAGAAACCCCAGGCAGTCCCTATGCTTCAGGCAGGGCCATCCAGCGTGCAGGGTTACGGAAGCAGCTCCTTTGTTGTAGCCACTGCAGAGGCAGATTCCGGGTTTGTGAAGCTGCGATCTCCTGCAGGGATCACCGGGGTGACGGGAGCTCACCAGAAGACCTTGTCACGACCCACTTTACAGCGGCTTTGTATCGACAAGAGCTACAGCAGCAAGTACTAGTTGGAACTCTGTTTGAAGTGTTCCCATGCACGTCTAAGTGGCCGTCCCAAGTGTATGTGCTCACCCTGTGTTTATGCACACACACTTGTGTGCGGGTCCGTGTGTGCATCACACCATGTATATGTGAACCTATGAGAGAGAGATAAGAGGGGGGAGGTGGGGGGGGTGGGGGGAGACCAAAAGACAGGTCAGGATGAGAGTGAGAGACAGGAGGGGGATGCATGTGTGTGGAGCTGCGGGAGGCCATGAAGAGGAGGGAGAGGGGATACAGGACGCGGGGAAGGTACTATGGAGCTGCTGTTTCCAGTCTACGAGATGTGCATTGAATGATCCTCCTGCATTTGGAGTTTTGGGTGTGGGTGATGCACTTAGGAGAGTGCATTTGTCGTTGTCAAGAAGCACACTCGTGTTCGATGGGAATAAGAGAAAAAGTGGGTGGGTGGGTGGGTGGGTGGGTGGGTTTTCTGTGATCGTGAAGGTGCTTGGGGGAGTGGAGGGATTGGAACTAGCCACCGACCTGCTGTCGAGGATTGCTCAGGTGCTTGCTGATCAAGGAGTTAAAACCGCCAGTTCACCCCAAGCAGATCGGGCCTCTTTCCGGTTTATGCGGTAGGAGCTCTTCGATTCAGCCGTGGGCCAGCACTGAACGTGGCAGGCCACTTTGAAAACGTGCGGTCACAGGCTCACAAGCCTTGGAAGGTAGCCTCGTCAACTATAGCCCCGTGCAAACTGGTGGTTTAAACTTTAAACCACTAGTACACGACCCCAGCCTTGCAGTCTGGACTTGTCATCACAAGAAAACGAGGCCGAGACGTCAAACGCTCGGCCTGCCGTTCATAAATTGGATCGGCGGCGGTCGTGTTTTCGTTCCGTGCTTCCAGAATTCGAGGTGTCACGCCCATGGCCCAGGTGCCCATGTACTGGTGGTTTAAGCGTGCTCAACAACATGAGATGAGACGTCTTTCATCTATTCGGTACTGATTCCGGTCCTTCTGGGCAAGAAATGCCCCCATCATCATCGTCATCATCGTCATCGTCATCATCATCAGTAGTGAACAAAATGAAGGTGGGCATTTAACTCCTGGTTATGTAATGGGTTATCAATGATCCTGCACCTTGAGTCTTACAGAGAATGCTGTTTTGATAGGAATGAACTACATTGTCATGCAGGCTGTCACAGCCATTGTGAGGTTTATCGGCGAATGGAGTGTACAGGCAGGCAGGTATTCTTCAGTTGGGAAAACAATTCGGGCGCGTCGGGCACTTGCTCACAGGGATGGCCCTGTGGTGAAGGAACCAAATGCTTAGCAATGAACGTAGTATGCCAGCGAATTGTGTTGGCTTTTTTATTGTGCATCTCATGTCAACACAATTGTACATCATGGGGCAGGCAACACACTGTGCTGGCTGCACTTGGAAACTCTATGTGGAGATGCTGTGTTGATATTATTGTGTGTGTATATTCACTCTCATTTGCAGCCACTTCCACTTCTTCTTCTTCTTCTTCTTCTGCTACTTCTTGAGATGTGAATCTTCTGATTCCTAATGGAGCAGAGGGGGACATCAAATCAAATTATATATTAATTTTAACTATTGGTAGCCTTAGAATGACTAGTTTCGATGTATTTCTCCTTTCCTCCTTTTTTTTTTCCACAGGGGCCATGTTAATCTTCTCTGTATCGTTCCAATTTTCACGGATGTCCGGACGGACTTGCTGTATTACCACCCTTTGTTCATGCCCCCATTCTCAATTTTGGTCTGGGTTTACGTAACCTGCATAGTTTCCGTATCTTTTTTTTTCTCAAGGACCAACAAACAGCGTTGCGATGCTGTCCTTGGACTCACTGACCTCAGGTAAATTCACTCGTTCGATTCCATTCGGGATTCGAACTCAGGTCGGTCTTTCGACAGTTCGTGGGTTTTGCCAAATCAGTAAGGCCAGTTAGTGCTTAGTTATTAGTTACCCTACCTTTTCACTGTTGAGGATTAGAAGGGAGAGAGTGGAGAAGCTGGCCAACAAGGGAGTTACAGTCATCAGGCGATGGAAGAGTGTCGGAGGAGATATAGAGGGGGTTGGAAAGGATGTGCACGTGGGTGGATTAAGGAGGAGCACTACCATCGTCACGACTCGTCAGGTGGATTTTTTTTGCTCGTACGGGTATCCGTCGTGCAGCCAACTTGAAGAAAGGTTACAAAAAAGAAAGGGAATGCTAAAAGAAGGAAAAGTATCAGAGGCACAGCTGTCCCCTCCCCCCCCCCAAATGGCCGCGACCGGGGCCCTGTTTGAAGGGAGGAAATTGAGACCACAGGTGTTATATTCTCCGCAGCTTTTGCTACCCTCAAATGCAGATCCTATTTCGAAAGCGAATTCAGAGAGGGCAGAGTTGTGTGTTCCCAAGATGGCTTCTGTGCGGAATCCTGTTCAATGGCCTGCAGGGTTGGCAGGGCTGGAAAAGAGAGTGGCGTGGCAGGCAGGCAGGTTCCGAAAACCACGCCAAGGTGGAGCCGCGGCTGTGCGTGCAAAATGGCTGCCGGACATACTCCTGTACAATGTGGCCTGAACGCGCCGAAATCGCCGAAATGGGATGTGTGGTGATTATTCTCTGAAGCGGACAGCGGACAGGTTCAGAAAACCGAGGCAAGGCGAAGCCCCAGCTGTTCTTGCAAAAGTGGCTGCTGGACGGATATCGTGTACAATGGCCTGAACAGGTCAAAATTACCTAAATGGGAACGGCGGTGATTATTCTTTGAAGCAGGCTTCAGTCCTTTGGCATGCAGGTTCACAAGCCAAGGTGGCGGGATTCACGACTTTCCCAAAATAGGCCAGGAGGTAGCGGCAGCTTTAACTGCTACCACGGGTCGAAAAGTCGGGCCAATCCCCAACGACGGGAAAAGGAACCTGTGGCCTTTGGATCGGCAATCGGCAATCCAATTGACCAACTGAAAAGGAACGGACCTTCTAATTAACCAGGGCCGCGGTAGTAAAAGGGAGCGGCAGTTTAAGAAGCGCATCTAGCGTATGACATGCCTAGGTCAGCTTTTTTACTGTGATGTGATATAAGCTGACGTCAGTCGGTCAATCTCATTGTTTCCCAAACAGGTGCATGGTACACAGCCACCATCCCAGTCCTTAGTGGGATGGTAAAGTTTCGATATGAGATCATGTATTCCAATTGCGTGGTGGCAGTTGAAGTGAGTACTTGGGAAATAATTTTGTGATGGGTCTAGCCCCTCAAAGATCGTTTGGTTGGTCCCTCACGCTCAGGAGAGCCAAGGTATTATTGTCTGGTGATTTGCCAATTGCATGCATGACCAGATGTTCTGCTTATCTACGAATGGGTGCCCCCCCCCCCCCCCCCCCCCCCCCCCCCTC